GTAGTTGTAGAAAAAGGGTGAATGTCCTTGTATGGCCTAGTCAGAGCCCAGACCTAAACCCCATTGAAAATATGTGGAATGACTTGAAGAGACTGCAGTCCACAAACGGTCCACCATCCAATGTAACTGAACTTGTTCCGTTCTGCAAAGGAGAGCGGGCAAAAATTGCAAAGTCTAGATGTGCAAAGGTAGTAGAGACATCCCAACAGACTAAAGGCTGGATTAAAGCAAACGATAGTTCAACAAAATACTGACACAAGGGGGTGATCCATTTTCCATCTCAGTGATTCTGTTTTTTTCTAACATGTTGGTGTTCTGTCTTTCACTTGGATGTTATAAGTTGCACTGAGAAAATACAGCGGGATAAAACAAAAACGGTGTCTGTCTTCATTTCATTAAATCCAAAACACTCTCCAAATAAACTATACCACTACAATACTCCACAACAACAATTTTTTGGTCTTTGAGGATTTATGTTATAGCATCTTCTGTGTCTTCATTTCAGGCTGTGATTTTTAAAAGGAGGCTATTCTTTTCTATACCCACTGTACCTGCCTACAGTTCAGCTTTAGAGACAAAATGACTAGACTCCGGCTTTAATACCTTAATAGCTTCTACGTCCCCAGGAGAAGGTCCCGTTTTCTTCTTCTCCAAGCCTGCACCAGGAGTGAATCTGCAACCAGACAAAGCAACAATGCAGTGATGTCTTAATTCTATTCTCACGAACAATATCTGCTTCTCTCAACTTTCAAAGGTGACACCATGAAAGTGATTTAAAACCAGTGTAGTATCTTATCTTAGTTAATAGCTGATACAAAAAATAAAAATAAAATCAAAACTTCTTCAGAAGCACCTCGTATTGCACAGAAAACTGGGGCACCTATCAACCCAATTACTGGAAAGAGCTTGCATGATGAACATTTGGAAAAAGTGACTGGAAATCAGTCAGACTCGATGAGACACAAATAAGGATGTCCCATTAGCAAACATCCTGATAAGGGAAGCAAGCAGTTATAAAAAAAAAATCTCCTAGATTGTAAGCTCCCAGGATCAGGGCCCTCCTAACCCTCTTGTACTGAACTGTATTGTTGCTGTATTGTCTCCCGTTAGATTGTAAAGCGCTGAGCAAACTGTTGGCGCCATATAAATCCTGTATAATAATAATAATAATAATAATATAAATCCTGTATAATAATAATATATATCCTGTATAATAATAATAATATATAAATCCTGTAATAATAATATATAAATCCTGTATAATAATAATAATAATAATATATAAATCCTGTATAATAATAATATATAATCCTGTATAATAATAATAAAAGCTTGCATGTCAATCATCATCCACCTTCTATAGGCAGACTGAGTATTTCTGTACAAAAAAGGTGCTTGTGAAGGAGAGTTTCAATTTTGCAGAGACAAGTTTGCGTCTTACGTTTTTGATCTCTTGGCAATATCCTTTGCAAGCTGTGCACCCCGCTTGCCCTTGAACATATTCGCTGCCTCCTCTCGCTCCTGAAGCGATACCATACACAGAGTTAATTGAGAATCAGATACAGCAAATGGAACACTGGGAACTGACTGCTCAGCAGCGTCATACAGAGCATTACAAACCAGGTGTATGGCTTCACAAATGTCCTCAATATTAACAACAAAAATCAAAATAGGCCGAATGACTGAGCTAAGGTCCTTAAATATTCATTTTTTTGGCGCTACAAAATAATCCACATAATACAAAGCATGCTGAGAACAGAATTCCATAACGGAAGATAACTTACATTTAAAGAATAACTGCACTTCTGTTGAGAAGAAAAAAAAAAAAAAAAAAAAAAAAAAAAAAAACTTCCCCTCCAGCTGGTCTATGTACATTGCAGGGATTTCAACAAACTTTGCAGCGGATTCCTACCTTTTGTTATTGTGAAGAAATAGCTGTTTGTCTGTGTCCATGTACAGAGTGAATCTAATGGGAGTGATATTATAATTATCAATCAGCTGTTTAACTTGCAGGGTTGTAATGAGGAAAGTGGCAGGGTCTGCATCTCTTTAGGCTAGGTTCACATCTGTGCGGGTGGTGCCGCTGCGGATCCGCAAGAAAATCCATGCACCCGCACAGAGAAATGCGGACCCGCGGGCGGGTGCCATTAGTTTTAAGCACCATAATACACAAACCATGTATTGTCCTAACAGTGGAACATAGAATTATTTCCCAGAGTGGGCATGGTGCATTAGGCTAGGTTCACATATGTGCGGGTGGTATGGGTGTGGATCTGCACGAAAATCCGCAGCACAGTTAAACGCGGACCCGCAGGCGGGTGCCATTACGTCTATTAAAATTCCAACCTATTCCTGACTTTTTTTTTTACATCACCTAAGTGATGATTTTTTGGTGACAGGTTCTCCGAGACATCCTTGCAGGTCTTCTCCCCTGTGCTTCACTGAATGTAATGCAGTGCACATCGCACCGTATTTCCCTAGGTTCACATCTGTGCAGGTGGTGCCGCTGTGGATCCGCACAAAAATCAGCCGCACCACCCGCACAGTTAAACGCGGACCCGCAGGCGGGTGACATTAGTTCTAATGGCACGCCGCCCACACTGGAAAACGCAACCGTACTGGGAACCGAGGTTCCTGTGCGGGCTGAGTTTTCAGAAGTGCAAGGACTTCTCTGCGTGTCACGTGGCACTGGAGTCCATTCAAATGAATGGGCTTGTTCCCGCGCAAAACGCAGCCCGCACGTCCGCATATATGTGAACTGGGGCTTAGACGTGATTACTCTTTGGGAGTATCTCACCAAAAATGAGATTTTTGGTGCAAGGGATGCCCAAAATTCTGACTTGTATCTTAGTGCGGAAAATCAGGAGCCAATCACACAAGTAGGAAATTACATTTCTGGGGGGGGGGGGGGGGTCTGTACACCATCTTGTACAGAACGCCTCCAGGTAGCCATATTGCATTTTACAGAAAACTACAGAACTGCAGACTGAAAAGGGAAAAACATTTTTGATTACATTAAATTACAATATGATTTGTGTATCAATTGTATACAGTTGAGGTCTCCAAACATTCTAAACAAAAGGGCTAGTTTATTGTCCTTCAGACTTTAACCCCTCACCCTCCTGAGGATTTAGCCCCCTTCCTGACCAGGCCATTTCTTTGCGTTACGGCGCTGCGTTACTTTAACTGACAATTGCGCGGTCATGCAACGCTTCACCCAAATAAATTTATGTCCCTTTTCCCCACAAATTGAGCTTTCTTAAGGTGGTATTTGATCGCCTGTGCGTTTATTTTTTGCGCTATAAAAAAAACAAAAGACCGACAATTTTGAGAAAAAAAAAATATATATATATTTTTGACTTTTTGCTATTAAACATGTCCAGTAAAAAAAAGTTAAAAAATATAAATTTCGTCATAAATTTAAGCCAAAATGTATTCTGCTCCATGTCTTTGCTAAAAAAAAAAAAAAAAAATCCTGATACGTGTAAATTAATTGGTTTACGTGAAAGTTATAGCGTTTACGAATGTGTAGATAGTGGAATTTTTTTTTTTTTTTTACATTTTTACTAGTAATGGCGGTGATCAGCAGCTTATAGCAGGACTGCGGCCGGCATTCTGACACGGGGGGAACTGAATTGGTGTCACTGACATCCAGAGTGACACCGATACAGTGATTAGTGCTAAAAACCACAAAACAAAACACTGACACTAATAATGGCACTGGGCAGGAAGGGGTTAACATGAGGGGCGATCAAGGGGTTAACTGTGTGCTTGTGCTTCACTGTAAGCTTTGTATTGCTTGTGCTTCACTGTAAGCTTTGTATGGCTGTGCTGTGCAGTGTGACCGAGCTGACAGGGAGGAGAACGGTTTTGTTTATAAACAGTTCTCCTCCCCGTCAGAGATCCTCGGCAATCACCGAGCTCCGGCGAGTAATAACCGCCCAGTGATTGACAGCCGCGGCTGCGAATGGAGGCACGGGTAGAGCGCGTGTGCGAAATCATGTATATATACACACACATGATTTTGTGCACCCATGCCACCCTGTAGCAGTATTTCTGCTATAGGGCAGACGGGAAACGGTTAAGGGGGTCGGACTGCGTCCAGTGTGAGTAGAAAATGCCCTAGCGTCAATGAGAGTAAAGAGTGCCCCATCACTAGTATTAGTGGGGGGCCCATTGCTTATATCATGGGAAGGAGTAGGCCCCATCACTGGTTGTCAGTACAAGGAGTAGCGCCCCATCACTGGTGTCAGTACAAGGAGTAGCGCCCCCATCACTGGTGTCAGTACAAGGAGGAGTAGCGCCCCATCACTGGTGTCAGTACAAGGAGTAGGCCCATCACTGGTGTCAGTACAAGGAGTAGCGCCCCCATCACTGGTGGTACAAGGAGTAGCCCCATCACTGGTGTCAGTACAAGGAATAGCGCCCCAGTATCACTGGTGTCAGTACAAGGAATAGCGCCCCATCACTGGTGTCAGTACAAGGAATAGCGCCCCATCACTGGTGTCAGTACAAGGAATAGCGCCCCATCACTGGTGTCAGTACAAGGAATAGCGCCCCATCACTGGTGTCAGTACAAGGAATAGCGCCCCATCACTGGTGTCAGTACAAGGAATAGCGCCCCATCACTGGTGTCAGTACAAGGAATAGCGCCCCATCACTGGTGTCAGTACAAGGAATAGCGCCCCATCACTGGTGTCAGTACAAGGAATAGCGCCCCATCACTGGTGTCAGTACAAGGAATAGTGCCCTAATGTTGGTATCAGTGACAGGATTTATACCCCATTGTTGTTGTCAGTGAGAGGAATAATGCCTTGTATCAGTGGGGAAAAAAGTGCCTTAAGGGCCAGATAAAAGGCAAGCAAAGGGCAGTTTGGAGACCTCTGGCATACACCATATTTTGTTTTTCTTAATTGCTATTTTTTTCTCACGAAAGTGGAGTTACCCTTTAATACTCATGCATACATAAGAACATAATTGAACATCAAAGTCTCTTTCGGTTATCCAGTGGCTTTCATGCAACTTTTGGATTTCACGCAATAGTCGTGAATGTGGGTGAAGAAGCCAGATCCAACATTTAAAACTACCACTAGAGAACTCACTTTTAGTCTGATTTTCTGAAAATCCAACACACGGACTTGTGGAAGCCTGAAGATCACATACAGTCTGTAATGTCGCTTGTTAATGACTGGATTTCTCAACAGACTGAAAGATAAAAGTACAAATAAATTGTGCGATACAGCGAATACTACAAGCGGAATACTTTGCAAATCCTTGAAACAGCTTTGAGGTCCGGTGCCTCTCTCTTTTCAGGTGGGGATGCCGCCAACCTCCGGGTACCATCACCTCTGCACACAGTTTAACCACTTGAGCTCTAGAAGGTTTTATCCCCCTTCATAAGCAGGACATTTTTTTTTGCTATTCAGCACTACTCTACTTTAACTGGCGATTGTGCGGTCATGCAACACTGTACCCAAATTAAAATTAATATACATTTTTTCACACAAATAGAACTTTCTTTTGGTGGTATTTGAGTACTACTGTTTTTTTATTATATAAATGAAAAAGCCCACAAAAAACAAAACAAAAAAAAAAATATTTTCTACTACTTTCTGAAATTTTATTTGGGTACAGTGCTGGACGATCGCGCAATTGTCAGTTAAAGTAATGGAGCGCCGTATCGCAAAAAATGGCCTGGTCGGGAAAGGGGGTAAATCTTACAGAGGCAAGTGGTTAAAGCCTCACACAGCTGATCCCTTGTGTACAAAAACTTTATTCTGACAGTAGTAACAGACACCCCACCCACTCACGGAGCTTTATCGATTAAAGGGCTCTACAACTAAGCCCCATTAGTGGGCAAAATGAACTAGCAGGGAGTACGTGGGTGGGGTGTCTGTTACTACTGTTAAAATAAAGTTTTTGTACAGAAGGGATCAGCTGTGTGAGGCTTTAACCACTTGTCCTCTGTAAGATTTACCCCCTTTCCCGCCATTTTTTGCGATACAGCGCTGAGTTACTTTGACAATTGCAGCTTCACTGCAAGCAGCACAGATATAACCAAAAGACAGCAACCTGGTCACCAATTTAGAATTATGGCGAGATAATTATTTCATTGGTGTAGCTTTATGTACATTTTTAAAGGTGGGCGCAATAGGTTTACCTTCTGCATGGGATCCCTTTTGGTAATATAAAGTGCTCAGTTGCACGGGATGAAAGCTAATTACACACAGCTGAGGTCATTCTGGTAATCAACGCCTCATCCTCTATTGCAGGCCATAGATGGGTCGAAAATTGGCCGATTTTTCGGCCGAAAATAAAATCGGGCCGATTTTCGGATCGTTAGTGGGTTAATTGTTCGGCCGTTTTTCAGTATTTTGGCAGATTTTTTTTTATTGGTAGAGTCGGAAAAAGATCGGCAGATTTTCACGGCAATTTAGGGCAAATCGGCTGATCTTTTTACCGATAAAAAAAAAAAAAAAAAAAAAAGAAGGAGGAGGAGGGGGAGGAGGATGAAGAGGAAGAAGAAGAATGCCAGTCCGGCAAAAAGTGTCCCTGCAGAGAGCTCCGCTATTTCTTTGACAGTGCTTTGACATTTATAGCGGTTGCAACAATGTATCTATTTGTTTCCGAATAAAAACATCTCTATCCGAAATGGATACAAATAGATACATTGTTGCAGCCGCTATAAATGTCAAAGCACTGTCAAAGAAATAGCGGAGCTCTCTGCAGGGACACTTTTTGCCGGTTGTAGACGGGATGAAAATCGGCCGATTTTTTTTACCATTCCTGGTAACGTCGGCCGCTTGAACGACCGATTTTTAATTTTTTTAAAGAAAAAGCGCCCAGTTTTCTCCCCATCTAAGACCTGCATAATGACCGAGCAGCTTAGAAATAAAAAATGATCAGAGTAGCTTTGTAGGCCAAAATGCGTTAGCTTCTGCGGTACATGGGACCTTTTGCTATTTATTTATCAAACTCTGCGGATTATGTATGGACTGCAGTGTTTACTTTTCAAACCTTGCTGGACTATAAGGGGAGGGATCCAGGACAATCAGTGCTACCTACCTGAGATAGGTGAGGTTTTTCCATGTAGATAAATTGTCCAGATCACCCTACGAGGAAATACAGAGTTGTTAGACATCTGAAAAAAAATCCACACCAATCACAGGTATCGAGCAGACAGTGGGAATTTGGTGTTTTAAAGTTGGAAACTTACCAATTCCATGATACTGTTGTTGGTGAGAACCAGCTCTTTTAAATTAGGCAACATCAACTCAAGACCTTCGCCTATACGACTGTAATAAGAAAGAAGCCATTACAATTGGAGAACACTGCGATATAAAATACATTTTTCATGTTTACCTTGTCAACATTGATGCTTTAACCAGTTCTCACCCGCCCACAGCGCATTTACCGCAGGCATGCAGCACAGGCAGGCTAAGCGGCATACACGAATCGTGGTAACCGGCCGCTTTCAGTGTCCGGGATATCATGTGGTCCCTATGCAATTACATGATCTCAGCGCCAACACAACTGTTATGAATGGGTTTCATTCATAACAGTCGTGCTTAGTATTGTGATGCTGTGATTGGCCCATAGCTATCCCATTGTACAGTGGGCCAATCGAAGCACCTTGTGCCATGGGATCACAATACTAAGCACAGCTGTTATGAAAGTCAATTATGACAGTTCAAAGCTGTTACAGTAATCATCATTGTAACAGCAATTAAAAAAAAAAAAAAATCATCACCTTCCAGAGTAGTAGTGTCACTATGGTGATGCTGAACTACTCTGCTGACAGGAGAGATATATATATATATATATATATATATATATATATATATATATCCTGTCAGCAGAGTAGTTCATCATCACCATAGTGACACTACTACTGTGGGAGGTGATTTTTTTTTTATATTTTAATTGCTGCTACAATATTGACGTGACCGTGTTTTAAAAAAAAAAAAATGTTGAGCGAATTAAATATTATTAGGATTTCTTTTTTTTTTTTTTTAAAACACGGTCACCAGTTTCCCTGATTACTACCTTGTTCTTGCATCACTTTGTTAATCCCTCCCCCATTATGAGTCAATAGCTACCAAAAAATGTACTGTCCAAGAACGCATGTGTGCACTATATAACTGGGGAAACTAGCATTTCAAATGTAATTCCACTCAATTAATGGAAATTTATGGACACCTAGCTCTGTGCTTTTAAGCAAGCCAAAGATGATTCAATTTTCTTTCCTGTAACCACAGGTGGAAGGAAAGAAAATTGATCAAATCCCCCATCAGTGTTGATGGGGGAATCCCTCCTGTAGTGCTATTGTGTTCTGTTGGTAGGGATCCCTCCCTGCTAGCAGAACACAATGATTCCTGATGACGGCTATAGCCGCCGGCAATGATTGCGTCAAAACAATCCGACAGGCTGATTGGACTGAAGTCGATTGATGGCCCTAATCACAATTTTATATGTGTATGTTACTTTGACATCACACCAAACACCTTTGGTCAAAAGCATATTAAAGGACAAATCCATCTGTCCTATATGTAAACAGTGCGGCCATTCGGGGCTCCGCCCACATGGCCAAGTCGCTCAATCACAGAGTTCTGTCAATGAGTGCCTACAAGTCCCGGCAGCCTTAGCAGCTGTCGGCTTGTAGTGTTCAGTGAACTACCTCGGCGCTGTGGTAGTTCACTGAAGCTTCATGTTAGAATATCTGCTTGCTCGTACATCATGCATGGGCAAGCAGATATTCTGACAGGTCTGCAGGAGACCTGTATGGCATCAGCGATCTACTGATTGCTGGCACAATGCTTTCCAGGCTCCTGCAGACAAAAATAATAAATGCACATTTTTTTTTTACCTGCAAAAAAATGTGCATTTATTATTTTTGTCAAAAAGGTGAAATTATCCTTTAAGATGCTTATAAAACCCAAACATTTTTTACCTTAATGCATTCCTTTCAGGACCTGAAACAGATGAGTTAAGGGTAGAACACCAAAAAGCAGCACTTACCATATCCGGTTGTTGTTCAATAATAAAGTCTTAAGCCTCCTTAGTAAAGGAAATCCATCCAACTTCCTTATCTCATTGTCTGAAAAATCGACAGTATCAAACTGGTCCAGTGTGGCCCCAAGGTTCTCAATCACCGGGATTTTGTAGCCTGTAAGCAGAAGAAAAACTGACTATTCGTAACAATAGCTATGGGAAGGGATTGATCCAAATAAAGTCCTTAGTAGTCTGGTTAGGGCGTTTTTTCTAGGAAACACAGATTGCACCCAGTTAGGGAACTCCACTGTACAGGTGACCACTGTCATCTAGAAAGAAAATGAATGGAAATCCAAAACCTTACCCGGACCCTGCATCCCCTATATCCGCTCTCCCCGGACCCGGCATCCCCTATATCCGCTCTCCCCCGGACCCGGCATCCCCTATATCCGCTCTCCCCGGACCCGGCATCCCCTATATCCGCTCTCCCCGGACCCGGCATCCCCTATATCCGCTCTCCCCGGACCCGGCATCCCCTATATCCGCTCCCTCCCCGGACCCGGCATCCCCTATATCCGCTCTCCCCGGACCCGGCATCCCCTATATCCCCCCCCCGGACCCGGCATCCCCTATACCCGCTCCCCCCGGACCCGCATCCACTATACCCGCTCCCCCCCGGATCCGGCATCCACTATACCCGCTCCCCCGGACCCTGCATCCACTATACCCGCTCCCCCCGGACCCTGCATCCACTATACCCGCTCCCCCCGGACCCGGCATCCACTATACCCGCTCTCCCCGGACCCGGCATCCGCTCTCCCCGGACCCGGCATCCGCTCTCCCCGGACCCGGCATCCGCTCTCCCCGGACCCGGCATCCGCTCTCACCCCCGGACCCGGCATCCGCTCTCCCTATACCCGGCATCTCCTCCCCGGACCCGGCATCCCCTATATATCCGCTATCCCGGACCCGGCATCCCCTATATCCGCTCCCCCCCGGACCCGGCATCCCCTATACCCGCTCCCCCCGGACCCGGCATCGCCCCAATACCCGCTCCCCCCGGACCCGGCATCCCCTATACCCGCTCCCCCGGACCCGGCATCCCCTATACCCGGACCCTCCATCCACTATACCTGCTCCCCCCCGGACCCGGCATCCACTATACCCGCTCCCCCCGGACCCGGCATCCACTATACCCGCTCTCCCCGGACCCGGCATCCTAAATACCCGCTCTCCCCTATGCATCCGCTCTCCCCGGACCCTGCATCCGCTCTCCCCGGACCCTGCATCCGCTCTCCCCGGACCCTGCAATCCGCTGTATCCGCTCTCCCCGGACCTGCATCCGCTGTATCCGCTCTCCCCCGGACCCTGCATCCCCTGTATCCGCTCTCCCCGGACCCTGCATCGCCCACCTGTATCCGCTCTCCCCGGACCCTGCATCCCCTGTATCCCCGCTCTCCCCGGACCCCTGCATCCCCTCTCCCCGGACCCTGCATCCCCTGTACTGTATCCGCTCTCCCCGGACCCTGCATCCCCTGTATCCGCTCTCCCCGGACATGCATCCCCTGTATCCGCTCTCCCCGGACCCAATCCCCTGTATTCCCCGGACCTGCATCCCTTTATCTAAACGGAAACTGCATCTCCCCTGTTAATCCGCTCTCCTCGGAACCGGACCCTGCATCCCCTGATACACCCCGTGACCCTGCATTCTCATCAGACCCAGCATTTATATCTGGTCTCGACCCTGCATCCACGGTATCCGCTCTCCCCGGACCCAGCATTCACTATACTGGTCTCTATTACACAGAACATGGAAATGCAATTGAATTTTCACTAAACAAACTGCTAAACACCTTTTCTCATCAGCACTAGAGCAGTCCTCGTGACTTCTATAAAGTCCAACTAAGCACTAGTTGCTTGTGGGAGTTTTTTCATTTTGCTCTAGGAGGATGCAGGACCCCGACCTCTGTCTGGACAGCGCTTATTGGCCCTATGCTGATCACATGCACCCTTCCAAGCAAAAAAAAAAAAAAAAACCTCTAGCAATACACACCAAACTGAGCATGTGCAGCTTGCCCCCAAGACTCTGTTCTATCAGGAGATATTTAGGAGACACTGGAAGAAGCGGAGGATCAGAAAAGACAGGATCAAGCAGCCTTTTTACACAATGTGTGCATGCTCTACTGCATCTACAAACTGATTTTACTGTTGTGGGTTTAAATTTGAGTGCGCCGTGACATGGCAAACAAACGTCAGTACCCTAAATGCTTTAAAAGCCCCTACAGGAAATTTTCTACATTTACTTCATTTTTTTTTTTTTTTTACTTAGATTTTATTTTCCATCACATAGGGAACAAAAAGTCTCCTAAGTGATGATTTTCTGCTGACATTCTTTTTTATGAGACTTTTAGGTCTTTTAGTCCCTGGATCTCTCCCCTGTACTCCACTGAATCTAATGCAGTGCAAATTGCATTTCATTCTTTCCAGACTATACTGGCCGGGGACAATGACATGGGGACCCGGAAGTGACGTTTTACATATCGTTTGCAGGTCAGAAACACAAAGGGGAGGAGAGTGGAAGTGTGGGGAAGGGAAATGGAGTTACTGGGGTGATACTGGGTGTGTGGAAGCAATAGGGCGGCAGCGCACCACCAGAATGCTTTCATCTGACAGGAAGGAGTCAGCTTGTCAGATGTACTCACAATCCCAGTGGCTGCAGCCCCAAATTGTGTGTAACACCCCCCCCCCCCCCCCACCGCTGTCAGGTCTGTACGAAGGGTTAAAGTAGAATTCCAACCTATTCCTGACTTTTTTTTTTTTTGGTATGGGTGCGGATCTGCATGAAAATCCGTGCAGCCGCACCACCTGCACAGTTAAACGCGGACCCGCAGGTGGGTGCCATTACTTCTATTAAAAGTCCAACCTATTCCTGACTTTTTTTTTACATCACCTAAGTGATGATTTTTTTGGTGACAGGTTCTCTTTGAGACATTCTTGCAGGTCTCCCCTGTGCTCCACTGAATGTAATGCAGTGCACATCGCACCGTATTACCCTAGGTTCACATCTGTGCGGGTGATGCCGCTGCGGATCGGAACCAAAATCCGTGCAGCTGCACCACCCGCACAGAGAAATGCGGACCCGCGGGCGGGTGACAGTTATAATGGCACGTCGCCTGCACTGGAAACCCCAACCGTACTGGGAACCGAGGGTCCTGTGCAGGCTGTGTTTTCCAAAGAAGTGCCGGGACTTCTTTTCCTGCATGGCACGGGAGTCCATTCAAATGAATGGGCTCTCGTGCCCATGCAAAACGTGGCGCGCACGGCCGCATAGATGTGAACCGGGGGTTATATTCTTTCCTGGGGGTTGCATTACAATCTCAACGGGGACCTGGAAGTGACATCATAACGTCACTTCAGGGTCAGGACAAGAAGGAGAAGGGAGTGGATGTGTCCGCTCTTCTCCCTCCCCTCTAGCCGACGACGAGCTAATCCCAGACCCACAGATGGGCAAGCGGAGCCCAAGAGACCTCACGGGGGGGGGGGGGGGGGGGGGGGGGGGGGGGAGCGGAGAGGCTGGCACTGTGTGGCAGCACTGCCGTCCGAATGCTTCCACCTGACAGGTGAGCCCGCTGCCTGCCTGCAGCAGGGCTAAAGGTAGAAAAAAACTACCTGTCCGATGCTCGAACTACATGACCCGGATGTCGAGCGATAGGAATCCAACATCCCTGCAATGACATCATCAGTTGATAAGGAGGACGTCGGGCGCATGCACATCATCCTTGTTTTGGCCCTCCCCTGCCCCTCTCCGGCAGCACTGGGGTCACATTAGCAAAGTGAGGGAGAGGAAATGAGAGACACATTGGAATACTAGTCGGTACCCGTGTGCAAAGGTGTATTTGTTGTGGAAGAATAAATCACCGGTAACGTTGGGAGTACTGGATGTATGTAGAATAGTTTGTTACATTTTAGATTGGCGTACCTTGAGATGGTGCAGGATTGTAAAGGGTGCCTTGACTGAAAAAAGGTTGAGAAACGTTGGAATAGAGTTTAGAAGCAGAGGTCTACTTTAACTGTACTCTCCTACCTAGGCACTCCTTGGAACCTCACCAACTTTCCTCTTCCTCTCTCCTTTGCTTCCTCCTCCTCGTCTTCCAACTACCAAACAGTTACCCGTAGAAACCTTCGTTATCTTAACCCTTCTCTTCTTTTTTTTCGGCAACAGATTGTCTCTATGATAAAATCTCAGCCCTGTCTTGCCCCAACCTGGCCACTTCTGTCTATAATACAGTGGGGATCGAAAGTTTGAAATTTTCTGTTATTTTGAAAGTGTAAATGATGGAAATAAAATCTAACTTTTGTTGACATATTATAAGAATGTCTAATCTGTAATTTGATGCCTTTTGGAGATTTTTCCATCTTTCCTTGGCTTCTTGCACATTAATACAAATTTTTAGCTGGGGTGCCCAAACTTTCCATCCCCACTGTAGTTCACTGTCATCCACCGTGGACACATTGCGCCCCCCCCCCCCCCCCGCTACACACAGAATTAGACCCTGACCGCTACAGCCCTGGCAAACAGACAGTTCCAGATGCCTCAAAAAATGTAGCTGAGCTCTTGAGCGTTTATGGTGTAAGACCCAGCAAGACTTCGACCAATATAAATCTGCCCTTCAAAAATACAATTCTTGTCTCCACACTGCCAAACAGACCTATTTTATCTCTCTCATTAACCACTTCCAGTCCGGACACTTTTACCCCTTCCCTGACCAGGGCAATTTTCAGCTTTCAGCGCTATCACACTTTGAATGACAATTGCACGGTCATGCAACACTGTACCCATATGAATTTTTTTACCATTTTTTTGAGACAGATAAAACTTTAATTTGGTGGTATTTATTCACCGCTGGGATTTTTATTTTTTTTGCTATGTAAATGAAAAAGTCCAAAACTTTTGAAAAAAAGTGTTTCTTATAAAATTTTGCAAATTAATATTTCATCATAAATCTTAGCCAAAATTTATTCAGCTATCTTTTTAGTAAAAATAAATAAATAAGCCAAATTAGTTTATAACCAACAATTATAATTTTTAAACTTTTTTTTCTACATTTTTATTATATATATATATATTATATATATATATATATATATATATATATATATATTTTTTTTTTTTACATACTGTCATCCTAGCAGTACAGCGTCACCATGGTGACACTGTACTACTTGTGGGGGGTGATGAAGATTTTTTTTTTTTTTTTTTTTTTTTAACACCGATTGCTTTTACACCAATATAGGATTTAAAAGCAATCATTTCTCTCTTTCTGCATTCTTTCAGCCATTGAGAACTACTGAGTTAGCTGTGATTGGTCACATCTTGTCACATGGTACAAGGCAGTTGTGAATAGCCCTGTACCATGTGACCTCTGTGATCATTCACAGATTTCACACGTAGTAAGCAATGATGTCACAAGTGACATCTTGATTACTACTTTGCATGTGATCACTGATTGGCTAATCAGTGATCACATGATCGGGACCTCGTACAGAGGTCCCGTCCGACGAACAGTGCTCAACTGTCTCCGGAGGACACAGCGGGCACTGGATCACGGTGCTGCGCGCTCCCGGGGAGCACGCACAAGCAAGGTGCGGGGGGGCCGTTTATAAACGTCCACCCGACCCTGCACTGCCACCGTCCGGCCGTTTATATACAACAGCCAGTCAGGAAGTGGTTAAACACCCTCTCACGCAATCCCCGTCAACTCTATTCTACCTTTAACTCTCTACTTCGTCCTTCATTACCTCCACCCACTAATTCACTCGCTGCCCAGGAGATCGCTAATCACTTCAAAAATAAGATTGATACAATTTGTGATGAGATCTCCACTGTACAGATATCTCCCTCACCCTACACTCCTTGTCCGCCAGACATCTCCCTCACCCTACACTCCTTGTCCGCCAGACATCTCCCTCACCCTACACTCCTTGTCCGCCAGACATCTCCCTCACCCTACACTCCTTGTCCGCCAGACATCTCCCTCACCCTACACTCCTTGTCCGCCAGACATCTCCCTCACCCTACACTCCTTGTCCGCCAGACATCTCCCTCACCCTACACTCCTTGTCCGCCAGACATCTCCCTCACCCTACACTCCTTGTCCGCCAGACATCTCCCTCACCCTACACTCCTTGTCCGCCAGACATCTCCCTCACCCACACTCCTTGTCCGCCAGACATCTCCCTCACCCTACACTTGTCCGCCAGACATCTCCCTCACCCTACACTCCTTGTCCGCCAGACATCTCCCTCACCCTACACTCCTTGTCCACCAGACATCTCCCTCACCCTACACTCCTTGTCCACCAGACATCTCCCTCACCCTACACTCCTTGTCCACCTGCACAATCTATACTTCCCTTGTTTATCCCAGCTACTATAGAGGAGGTTAGTCAACTTTTTTCTAAAGCCCACCTAATCACTTGCCCCCTGGACCCTGTTCCCTCGAAAATACTATGGTCAACCTTTGGCTCCATCCTTCATTCTTTAACTCATATCTTCAATCTCTCCCTTTCTACTGGCACCTTCCTCAACTCTCTAAAACATGCGCTAGTCACCCCAATACTTAAAAAGGCTTCACTGGACCCCACCAATCTTAGCAACCTAAGACCCAGATCCTTACTCCCTTTTGCCTCCGAACTCCTTGAACATCTTGTCTACAACCAGCTGAGTTGCTACCTTATTGAGAATAACTTCGATCCCCTTCAGTCTGGATTTTGCCTGCAACACTCCACAGAAATCGCTCTCCTAAAACTCACAAACTACTTACTAACCGCTAAAACCAATGGTCACTATTCCTTTCTCTTGCTCTTGGACCTCTCCACTGCCTTTGACACAGCTGACCACCCCCTCCTCCCCAGAAAACTCTATTTACTTGGTCTCCATGACTGTACTCTCCGTTGATTCGAATCTTCCCATCTCACCGCACCTTCAGTGTCACTTAGAACTCTACTTCCTCCTCTCCTGCTCCTCTTACTGTCAGGGTCCCCCAAGGTTCTGTCCTTGGACCTCTCCTATTCTCCAACTACACTTCTTCCTTGGGTAAAGCGATAGCTTCCCATGGTTTCCAATACCATTTCTATGCTGATGACACACAAATCTCTCTACTCCTCAGCTCACCCCATCAGTTTCCTCACATATCACCAATTTATGAACAGACATATCAGACTGGATGTCACTCCACTTCCTGAAACTCAGTCTATCCAAAACTGAGCTCAGAATATTACCTCCCCCACGCGCCTCTTCCCCTGATTTCTCGGTCAGGATCAATAGCAGCACTCCGCGCATGCCAGGGTGCTAGGGGTAACCCTAGATTCTGGACTGTCCTTTCAGGCTCACATCCAATTCCTGTCCAAATCCTGCCGCCTCCACCTCCGCAACATCTCCAGAATACGCCCCTTCTTAACCAATGATACCACAAAGCTCCTAATTCACTCCCTGGTATCTCTCACCTCGACTACTGCAACTCCCTCCTCATTGGCTGACCTTTACATAGACTATCCCCCCTCCAGTCCATCATGAATATTGCTGCCAGGCTCATCCACCTTACCAACCATTCAGTGTCTGCTACCGCTCTCTGCCAATCCCTCCACTGACCTCCATTCAGTGTCTGCTACCGCTCTCTGCCAATCCCTCCACTGCCTCCATTCAGTGTCTGCTACCGCTCTCTGCCAATCCCTCCACTGGCCTCCACCTCAGTGTCCTGCCACCCCTCTCTGCCAATCCCTCCACTGGCCTCACCTCAGTGTCCTCCACCCCTCTCTGCCAATCCCTCCACCCTCTCTGCACCCCTCTCTGCCAATCCCTCCACTGGCCTCCATTGAGTGTCCTCCACCCCCTCTCTGCCAATCCCTCCACTGGCCTCCATTGGTCTCCTCCCCCTCTCTGCCAATCCCTCCACTGGCCTCCATTGAGTGTCCTCCACCCCTCTCTGCCAATCCCTCCACTGGCCTCCATTCAGTGTCCTCCACCCCTCTCTGCCAATCCCTCCACTGGCCTCCATTGAGTGTCCTCCACCCCTCTCTGCCAATCCCTCCACTGGCCTCCATTCAGTGTCCTCCACCCCTCTCTGCCAATCCCTCCACTGGCCTCCATTCAGTGTCCTCCACCCCTCTCTGCCAATCCTTCCACTGGCCTCCATTCAGTGTCCTCCACCCCTCTCTGCCAATCCTTCCACTGGCCTCCATTCAGTGTCCTCCACCCCTCTCTGCCAATCTCTCCACTGGCTTCCACTGACCCAATGAATAAAATTCAAAATACTAAAAACAACTTACAAAGCCGTCCACAACTCTGCCCTCAGCTACATCACCAACCTGGTCTCAAAATATAAAAAAAAAAATGCTCTTCAATCCTCCTCCTCTCTCTTTAAAGAAGCCCATCCTGCTTCTACCTAGTAAACTGGCTGACCCCAGAAGAGGACTAGAGGGGAAATCTTCCAAAGGGGACACTAGGTCTGGTGATATTCCCTCAGTTTTGGAGGGATTTCCTCTCACTTCCTGTGTTGGCTATGGGACAGAAAGTGAATGGAAATCTCCCCAATGGGACACAGATGGCACAAATCCAACAAACCTTACAGAGAGGAAATCTTCCACTGGGGACATTAGTTCTGCTGACCTGGGGGGCCCAAGGGATTCTATTGATTTGCAGATTTAATATCACTTCCTGTTTGGCTATGGGACAGGATGTGAAGAGAAATCTCCACAAATGGGACACAAATGACAAAATAAAATTCAACAAAAGACAACAACAGGAGTTATAATCACTAAAACAAGAAGGGAAGTCTTCCAATTGTGACAATAATTCTGGTGACAAAAAGGAATTTCCTCTCGTTTCCTGTTTTGGCTATGAGACAGGAAGTGATGGGAAATCTCCCCAAAGAGTCACAGAAGGAAAAAAAAAAAAAAAAAAAAAAAAGGTGGGGAACCATAAAGAGGAAAGTCTTCCAATGGGGACACTAGTTCTGGTGACCTGAGGGGGCCCAAGGGATTCTACTGATTCACAGGGATTTAATCTCACTTCCTGTTTGGCTATGGGACAGGAAGCGAAGGGAAATCTCTGCAATGGGACTCACATGACAAAAAAAAAATGTTGTTTTTAAAGAAAACAGGAGTTATAATCACTAAAACAGGAAGAGAAGTCTTCCAATGGTGACAACAGTACTGGTGACAAAAAGGGATTTCCTGTTTTGGCTATAAGACAGAAAGTGATGGGAAATCTACCCAAAGAGTCACAAAAGGAAAAAAAAAAAAAAAAAAAAGTGGGGACCCATAAAAAAGCAAATCTTTCAATGGGGACACTAGTTCTGGTGACAGCCAGAGGTTCCCTCACACTTCCTGTTTTGACTATGGGACAGGAAGTGAACAGAAAGCTCTCCAATGGGAAAAAAAAACCGCCTATAGGGGTTATAACTCCATTATTCTATCCAAAAATGAAAAGATTCCCTTAATTCTACTTTAAAAACACATTTAAGGAGCAGTGAGTAAGGGATAAAAAAAGAAGCAATGGGTCAGATACTCATATACCCCCCCCCCCCCCCCCGAGAATGTCATGGTTTCTCCCGCCAGTTCGTCTGTTCTATAAGTTGTACTAGCTGGCGGAAGAAACCATAACATTTAAGGGGGGTGTCCAGAAATGTGGAATGCTCGCAGCAGCCAGAGAAGACGTGAGCCTCCAGTAAGGTTTTGCAGCAAATGATTCATATAGTGGGTCCGGGCCCTCATACACTGCAATCAATCCTGACCGGGGCCTCTCACTCGATTCCCCGGGTAATGGCGCCTCCCCGCACACTCACCCCGCAGGTCTAGCTCCCGGTCCCGCACGGCATTCGTGTACTGAGCCGCCTGCTCGATCAGATCCGCCGTCAGCTTCACCATGGCGCCAAACCCACGAGGCCTCACAGCACAGCAGCCGCCTCAGAGCCAGCACAGCGTGGCCAGGCTTTTCCGCGTCACTTCCGCCGCCTTCCCCGCGCCAATCAGCGACGACGAACAATGATCCAGACAAAAACAATAAATCGCGGAGCTAATCGAGCGCAGAAAGGACTCCAGGGGAATGTTCACTACTAATGTCTGACCGCAGCTCAGTAGTTTGTATAGTTCTGGATGGAGATGGGAGGAGCTGAGGCCTGTCAGGTGGTTTTATGTTTCTGAGGAGACTTCCCTTGAAGTAGAGCTATAGGCATTTTTTTATTTTAATTTCGGGAGGTTTATAACCCCTATAAAGTTTTTTTTTAACATCTGTGTCCCAATAAGGGAGATTTCCCTTCACATCCTGTCCCATAGCCAAAACAGGAAGTGAAAGAAATCCCTCTAAAGTAAGGGAATCCTGAGTTGTCACCAGAATTTGTGTCCCCTTTGGAAGAATTCCACTCTCTCAGTTTATTTGTCATCTGTGTCCCATTAGGGAGATTTCCCTTCACTTCCTGTTCCATAGCCAAAACAGGAAGTGAGATGCAATCCCTCCAAAGTGAGGGAATCCCCAGTTGTCACAGAACTAGTGTCCCCATTGGAAGAATTCCACTCTCTCAGTTCATTTGTCATCTGCGCCCCATTGGGGAGATTTCCCTTCACTTCGTGTACCATAACAAAAACAGGAAGTCAACAAAAACTGCCTTGGTTGTCACCAGAATTTGTGTCCCCATTGAAAGATTTTTCCCTTTATTTTTGTTCCATAGGTAAAGTAGGAATTGAGAAGAAATCCCTGTGAATTAAGGGAATTCAATGTGCCCCCCGCCCCCCCCAGGTCAGCAGAACTGGTGTCCCCATTGGCAGATTTACCCTCAGTTAAGTTTTGTTTGCCATCTATGACCCATGGGAGATTTCGCTTCATTTTCTGTCCCATAGCCCAAACAGGAATGTGAGAGGAAATCCCTCTAAAGTGGGGGAATCCCCAGTTGTCACCAGAACTAGTGTCCCCATTGGAAGAATTCCTCTCTCAGTTTATTTGTCACCTGTGTCCCGTTTGGGAGAATTCCCTTCACTTCCTGTTCCATAAACAAAAACAGGAAGTTAACAAAAAAACAGCCTTGGTTGTCACCAGAATTTATGTCCCCATTGGAAGATTTCCCCTCAGTTTTTTTGCCATCTGTGTCCCATTGGGGAGATTTCCCTTCATTTCCTGTCCCATAGCCACAACAAGTAAGATGAAACCCTTCCAAAGTGAGGGAATCCCCAGTTGTCACCAGAACTAATGTCCCCATTGGAAGAATTCTACTCTGTCAGTTTTTTTTGCCATCTGTGTCCCATTGAGGAGATTTCCCTTCACTTTCCTGGCCCATAGCCAAAACAGGAAGTGAAAGAAATCCCTCTGAAGTAAGCGAATCCTCAATTGTCACCAGAATTTGTGTCCCCATTGGAAGAATTCCACTCTCTCAGTTTATTTGTCATCTGTGTCCCATTGAGGAGATTTCCCTTCACTTCCTGGCCCATAGCCAAAACAGGAAGTGAAAGAAATCCCTCTGAAGTAAGAGAATCCTCAATTGTCACCAGAATTTGTGTCCCCATTGGAAGAATTCCACTCTCTCAGTTTATTTGTCATCTGTGTCCCATTGGGGAGATTTCCCTTCACTTCCTGTTCCATAACAAAAACAGGAAGTCAACAAAACAGCCTCGGTTGTCAACAGAATTTGTGTCCCCATTGGAATAATTCCACTCTGTCAGTTTTTTTGCCATCTGTGTACCATTGAGGAGATTTTCCTTCACTTCCTGTCCCATAGCTAAAACAGGAAGTGAAAAAAATCCCTCTAAAGAAAGGGAATCATCAGTTGTCACCAGAACTAGTTTCCCCATTGGAAGAATTCCACTCAGCTTATTTGTTATCTGTGTCCCATTGGGGAGATTTCCTTTCGCTTCCTGTTCCATAACAAATAACAATGGGGACACTTGGACGATTTATCTTATGGCTGTTTTTTTTTTGCCATCTGTGTTCCATTGAGGAGATTTCCCTTCGCTTCCTGTCTCATTGCTACAACTAAGAGGAAATCCCTCCAAAGTGAGGGAAGCCCCGGTTGTCACCAGAACTAGTGTCCCCATTGGAAGAATTTCTCTCTGTCAGTTTTTTTTGCCATCTTTGTACCATGAAGAGATTGAGGATGGAACACAGATGGCAAAAAAAACCAGCCATAAGATAAATCGTCCATCTGTGTTCCATTGGGGAGATTTCCCTTCGCTTCCTGTCCCATTGCCACAAGTAAGAGGAAATCCCTCCAAAGTGAGGGAAGCCCCGGTTGTCACCAGAACTAATGTCCCCATTGGAATAATTTCTCTCTTGTCAGTTTTTTTGCCGTCTTTGTACCATTGAGGAGATTTTCCTTCACTTCCTGGCCCATAGCCAAAACAGGAAGTGAAAGAAATCCCTCTAAAGTAAGGGAATCCTCAGTTGTCACCAGAATTTGTGTCCCCATTGGAAGAATTCCACTCTCTCAGTTTATTTTTGTCATCTGTGTCCCATTGGGGAGATTTCCCTTCACTTCCTGTTCCATAACAAAAACAGGAAGTCAACAAAACAGCCTCGGTTGTCAACAGAATTTTTGTCCCCATTGGAAGATTTCCCCTCAGTTTTTTTTTTGCCATCTGTGTCCCATTGGGGAGACTTCCCTTCATTTCCTGTCCCATAACCACAACAAGTAAGATGAAACCCTTCCAAAGCGAGGGAATGCCCAGTTGTCACCAGAACTAATGTCCCCATTGGAGTAGTTCCACTCTGTCAGTTTTTTTTCCATCTGTGTCCCATTGAGGAGATTTCCCTTCACTTCCTGTCCCATAGCTAAAATAGGAAGTGAAAGAAATCCCTCTAAAGTAAGGGAATCATCAGTTGTCACCAGAACTAGTCTCCCCATTGGAAGAATTCCACTCAGCTAATTTGTCATCTGTGTCCCATTGGGGAGATTTCCCTCCTCTTCCTGTTCCATAACAAATAACAAAAACAGGAAGTCAACAAAACAGCCTTGGTTGTCAACAGAATTTGTGTCCCCATTGTGTCCCCCCCCCCCCCCAGAACTAGTGTCCCCTTCGGAAGATTTCCCCTCAGTTTTTTTTTTTGCCATCTGTGTCCCATTGGGGAGATTTCCCTTCACTTCCTGTCCTATAACCACAACAGGTAAGATGAAATCCTTCCAAAGTGAGGGAAGCCCCGGTTGTCACTAGAACTAGTGTCCCCAATGGAAGATATTAGTTATGGGACAGGAAGCGAAGGGAAATCTTCCCCAATGGGACACAGATTGCAAAAAAACTGACAGAAAGGAAATATTCCAATGGAGACACTTGGACGATTTATCTTATGGCTGTTTTTTTTTGCCATCTGTGTTCCATTGAGGAGATTTCCCTTTGCTTCCTGTCTCATTGCCACAAGTTAGAGGAAATCCCTCCAAAGTGAGGGAAGCCCCGGTTGTCACCAGAACTAGTGTCCCCATTGGAATAATTTCTCTCTGTCAGTTTTTTTTGCCATCTTTGTACCATTGAAGAGATTGAGGATGGAACACAGATGGCAAAAAAAAAACAGCCATAAGATAAATCGTCCATCTGTGTTCCATTGGGGAGATTTCCCTTCGCTTCCTGTCCCATTGCCACAAGTAAGAGGAAATCCCTCCAAAGTGAGGGAAGCCCCGGTTGTCACTAGAACTAGTGTCCCCATTGGAAGATATTAGTTATGGGACAAGAAGCAAAGGGATAACTCCCCAATGGGACACAGATTGCAAAAAAACTGACCGAAGGGAAATCTTCCACTGGAGACACTAATGGACGATTTACAAACAGTCCTCCTCCCTGTCAGAGATACTCATCAATCAACAGGCGCCGGTGAGCAATCACTGTCTGGGGCCCGGTGATTGACAGCCGCGGCCCTCTACCCGGAAATTTAAAATCACGTATATATACACACACGTGCTTTCATGCACCCGTGCCGCCATGTATTTCTGCTATAGGCAGTCGGGAAGCAGTTAATGGACACAGACACACACACACGGTCAGCCTCACTTGTGTCACTAGCCCTGACCCCACTGGAAGTGGAACAGAAGGTGTCCAGGGGGACAAGAGCACCAGCAGATGTTGTTTGCAGCTCTTGCAGATGATGACCTTGGAAGACTGATGATCTTCTGATTCAGGCGCAGTAAAAATATGCAGAGCTGGTATGGTAGATCGCCAGGTGTGCACCAGAGCAAGGCAGGAAGCTGGAATGGGAGACAGGAGCAGGGTCATAGGAATAGCCGGGGTCATTAACAGGCGGATATGGTACAGAATCAGAAGCAAAGCCAAAGTCAGGAGCAGAGCCGAAGTCAGGAGCAGAGCCGAAGTCAGGAACCAGTATCAAGCAGGAGAGTAATCAAAGTCAGGTCAAGAACAAGCCGGGTCAGCAACAAGGAAATCACACAGGAACGAGCAGGAAACGAGGGTGAGAGACAGGAGCAGTGTCATAGTAATAGCCAGGGTCATCAACAGGCGGACTGTGAGGTACCAAATCAGAAGCAAAGTCAGGAGCAGAGCTGAAGTCAGGAACCAGTATCAAGCAGGAGAGTAATCAGAGTCAGGTCAAGAACAAGCCGGGTCAGCAACAAGGAAATCACACGGAAACGAGCAGGAAGCGAGGGTGAGAGACAGGAGCAGTGTCATAGGAATAGCCAGGGTCATCAACAGGCGGACTGTGAGGTACCAAATCAGAAGCAAAGTCAGAAGCAGAGCCGAAGTCAGGAACCAGTATCAAGCAGGGAAGTAATCAGAGTCAGGTCAAGAACAAGCCGGGTCAGCAACAAGGAAATCACACGGGAATGAGCAGGAAGCAAGGGGGAGAGACCGTAGCAGTGTCATAGGAATAGCCAGGGTCATCAACGGGCGGGCGGACAGCGAGGTACCAAATCAGAAGCAAGCCAAAGTCAGGAGCA